ATGGAGGCAGCAAAGAACTCGCTATGTGAAGATGTAGCGAGTAGCCAGCGAACACTCCCAGACTTGAAACAGAGGCGAAAGGACCATAAACTCGCTAGGTGAAGTTCACAATGAAGGCTTCGCTAGGCGAAGGATTTCTCACCCAGCGAATATTTGGAAATATCTCAGGGGCGGTTTAACTCTTCAGAGGCACCTCAGGTGCCTAATTTGTTGTTCGCTAGGCGAAGGATTTGTTCGCTAGGCGAACATGATAGATCCTGAATATACTATATAAGTAATTTTCTTACTTTTTAGATTGGAATGTAATATTTTCTACATCCGAACTTATCTCTCTCCATTTCAAGTTTATTTTAGAGAGAGAAACACAAAACCCTAAGAGGGAGGAGGTAAGATCTTTGATCTCTTGTTGGGGTTTGGATGTAATTTTTTGATACCTTATGTATTTCATCTAATATATGTTTGTGAACTAGTTTGGATTCTCTATTGATTGATTATCTGTATTGTGTTGATTAAGTAGCACGGGTAGCATGAGTAGGATCAATACGATATTGTACGGGTGCGTGATATTAGTGATGAAGAACGATGTTCATAGACATTTGGCAAATTAGATGAATACATGTAAAAAAGGTTTAAACGTATGTACATATTTTGATCATGGTGTTTTATATGAAACAATTGTTTATCCGATATGGGTGTCATCTTTGTTTACCTGTTTATCTTTGATTTGAATTGCTATAGACATGTACTCTTCAGATTCGGATCTAGGATGATTACCTGTTAGGTCCTAAATACTAGACATAGGTTTAGGCTTAGCATTTGCATGAGTATCAGCTTTTAATGCTCTTTGTTGTATTTTTGTTGGGTGAGACATCACCAATGAGATAACACTGTTGTTCTCTCGACGTTGCTTTAGAGATGACCTCTGTCGTGGGTGATACGTAAGGGTATTAGACGAATGATTGTGTTGTGTTTAACTTGATCAGAAGAATGCATATGTTATCAATTGATGAGATCCAAACCCAACAAGACTCCGTTTATATTTCAGTTTTTACTTTATATTTTCCGTCTTTATATTTCCTGTTTTTATCCATGGTTCCTTGAACCTTTTAAACCAAAACTTTTGAACAATAGGCTTAGAAATATGGAAATCCTTGAACGGCGTTCGTATCACATCGATCCCTGTGGAGACGAAAAAACTGGGTACTTAATATTTTTGTTTGTTCTTTACTGCACCAACAGACCATACGCTATTTTTCACCATGGTTGAAATTCTAACTGTGGTTAAAAGTGACACCTTCCTACTTTTCAACACGATTGTTATTAAGGGCCGTAGTGGAAAATCTTTTAATAAAAAATACAGGCACCTAAATATCACATATTACTTCAGTTGATTGAATATCTGAGGTGATAACATGTTACAGAAGGTATATTTTATAGTAGTGAGATATGCCTTTGTGTGTTTTGATGACTTCTTAAGGTACACATGAGTTGACATTTTCGAGAAAAATCATATATGTTACCATCTTTGAAATCTTATGCCAACACCTACAGCTTGAGAAAGTGAAAAAAAATTGGTAACATTGTTCATATACATGGTGATCATGGAAAGGAATTTGAGAACTCTAATTTTTCTAAATTTGGATAATCTGAATGAATATCTCATGATTTTTCAGACCCCATCACTCCTCAACAAAATAGGGTTGTTGAACGCGAGAATCGAACTCTCCAAGAAATGGATAGATTCATGCCCATGCTAAAAATATACCATATAACGTTTAGGCAGAAGCCATGAACATTTGCTGCCACATTCACAATCGTGTGACCATTCGGCCATGCACCAAAGCTACTCACTATGAGCTATGGGAGGAATAAATCTAATTGTAAAGTACTTTCATATTTTTGGTAGCGAGTGTTATATATTGGATGATAAAGAACAAAGATGCAAATTGGATCCTAAAAGTGATGAATAAATCTTCTTGGGATACTTTACAAATAGTTAGGCATACCGAGTATTCAATAATCGTACAAGATCCAGGATGGAGTTTAGCAATGTTATTGTTGATTACATGCAACATAATGATTTCGATGAAGAAGAAGACGAATCCACTGCTATTGAGTTGAATGTCACACCAGATGTACCAGACAAAGGTTTAAATATTATTTTGTCACTTGAAGATGATAACTCAGAAGGTGTAGAGGATAAAAAAGATCATTGAGGTTCTAAAGAAGATGATACATCCACAAGAATTCAGAAATATCATTCAATAAAAAAGATAATTGAGGTTCTAAATGAAGGAGTCATTGTCATATCCAAGGAAGCTTGATAACACATGTTTTATCTCTAAAGTTGAGTACAAGCTCATTGAGTGATGTTGAAATTGAAATTGAATAATTACTTAATTCTTAGCTTTTTAATTAATTAGTTTTTAGATTAACTAGTAAGATACTCATGCTTCCGCACGGATAAAATTATTTAATATGGTATAAAATATATTTAAATATACATTTGGAACGTTATAAAATGTATTTATATACATGTCTAAATTTAAAATTAGTTATTAATTATAAAGTGAACAATGATTAAAATACAACGATTGAATTAGCTAAACTCAATTGTATTAAAATACAAATAGAAAAAAATTGAGATGAAAAAAAAAGAAAGAAATATTTAATATTTGATAGTAAAGATTTTATCTTTCAAATTAAAATAATTATTGATTAAAATAAAATATGTATTATTTTTATAGTCACCCGTGAAGTAGAAAGTTTGTTTGATACAATATAAAATGTATTTATATACAGATGTAAATTTGAAATGAATTATTTGATGGTAAATTGAAAAATAATTATACAATCTCAATTGTATTAAATAATTATGCAAAAAGAAGGGGAAAAAATGACTCGTGAGATGAAGACAAAAAAGAAAATTTTAATGTGATAATGACTCGTAAGATAAAAAATTATTTTGTGCGATATAAAATGCTTTTAGATACAAATTCAAAATTTAAAATGATATACTTAATTGTAAAATAAAAAATAATCATATAAAGTAAATTGTATTAAATATTATATAAAAAAAATCGTAAAGAAAAAAATTAATATTTAATAATAAGATAAAGGTTAATTAAAATAAAATAAATATTATGTTGATAGTGACGGTGAGTTAAATAAGTTTTTAATTTTATTAAAATTAAAAAACAAATTATTAGTATTTTTAGTGTAGATAAAAAAATAGAGAAAAAAAATTAAAATGAAAGTGAGAAAGTGTGAGAAAAAAATGTGAAAGAAATTTGAAAATTGAATAAAGAAAGAGAATGAGTGTTTGTAATTAGGGGTGGAAATAGGCTGAGTTGAGTTAGATTTTGTCAAGCCTGAGTTTGTTCTGCTAAAAGTTTAAATCTTAAGTTTGGTTTGTAATCTATCATATGCTTATTTTTAGGCATAAGTATGACCTTTTGAAGGTTTGATTGACCTACTAGCATACTTAAAAGCCTACTTCATTTGAACGTTTGTAAATAAGAAATTCAACTAATGTTAAATAGACTAACAAATTAAAAGATCATTGAAATTAAATGTTTGTTTTCGTTGTCTCATTCAAGTTTATCTATTAGCATAAATTTGATGATACTATTTATTGGAGAGAACTTATGGAAAAAAAACTTATGACAACAATTGTTTATAATATTTTTTCAACTTATTTTTATAATTTTTTCAAAATAATTAAGTTTTATTTTCGTATTTTAACTCAAAGTACAAAATATAATATAATAATAATAAATTTATTGAATCTTTTATAAATTGATCAGTCTGATGGGCTTTTTTTATTATTTGTGGCTAAATATGCTTATAAAAAAATCTAAGTCTTTTTTATTTAAAAAAAAGTTTGTTTGACCTGAGCCTATGTAGACTGGACCATAGTCCCATATTAGTTGGTCTGACATATTCGCATCTCTATTTATAATATTTAATTATGATTTATTTAATAAATATTGATATGTGAATGCCACTTGTCATGATATAATAGAAAATGAGAATAAAAAAAAGTAAATATTAATCGTTTACTAAGATATTATTTTGTTAAGGTAAATAATTTGTGGTAAAAGATAATTTTAAAAGTTCATGCAATAGATTTTTGTCCCCAAAATTTCTTTTCTAAAGTGACGTTGAAAAAAATATTATATGTACTATACATCATATATTTTGTTTATTAATATTTATATGAAACTTGGGAAAAAAAATTAGTTACAATCATTCCACGATCTTTCGAATATGAACCAATTTTAACTTCTTAATAATTGAGTCAATCTTCATTGACAATTTTAATGTTAAGAATATAATTCAAGGCAAAAAAAGAGTAGCAGAAATATTGATTAAATCCAAATGAATTGTGATTTGCCATATAAGCTTTTGATGCTTTCACTTTAAAATCTAAAAGAGTGGGGGACATTTGAACACCCAAATTTTGATACCGTATTCCCACACCATTGTGATTTGCCATATATAGAAATTGAAAACCAACAAAATGGAATAAACAAACAATCTTGTCTATAAATTATGACTATCTTATTAATATGATTTCTAAACTTCATCTTACTATTTAGTCTTTCAAATTACTTTCTCTTTCAAGTGTCCATTAGTAGTGTATAAATTATAAAACTAGAGAGAATGTGACCCTTGTCTCAAGATGCAAGATGCACTTTTTTTCATTTCCATGAGAATTTTAGCTTTAAATAAATTGTTAATTGATACATGAGAACAAAAAAGTGGCAAGATACATGAATAAGGTTAGACACAAATATCTCTTCCAGTGCTGCTATCAATGCAATCCAAGCAACTCTTCCCCATTTAGATTCAATAAGTAATCACGAACTCGCACCAATTGCGTCTTTTCAAGGGTGGGAAAGTTAGTTTAACTGATATCATCATCTCTTTGATGACGCCTCAAAATCCAAGATTGAACATCTGTCTTTGTAGCTGAGATAAATTCCTTACGCTGCTCTTCAAGATTGAGATCTCTCGCGGATTTTGGCTCTCGCAAAAAGTACTCCTGCCAAAAGACCTACAATTTCCATTTCTACCTTCAGTGTTGAAATAAGAATGTAATTCAAACTTGTACATATTTACTCTATCATAATGCCAACTTTCACTTAATGCAAAAAAACTAACCAAATAAAATGCTTGCAGAGTTTTCCAAACTAGTAGGAACTTTAAACAGAAAAATGCCAGCAATCGAAAGTGGTATCTTATTCAGCGAACCTACAAGACTGAAGATCGCAAACTAGTTACTAGACATGTTGTATAGCATGATATTAGGAAACTGAAATTAAGCAAGAATTTATCTTCTCTAGAGAGCAACAATTGGCACTTATGATCACACCTGTAAGTTGTAGCCCCTGTCTGATGAAGAAACCACATCGATGTGAAGCTAATTGCTAGGCCCAAAATTCCACTGAATGTCACCACTAGCCAAAAGCTAGGCAATCTCAGAAGAGGCCTGTCAGTTGAAATACATTACTATTGTTTAGTAATGAGATTTGCAAAATGAAAATAAAAGGGATAGGCTTTTTACTTTTTGAAATCAACATAACAAACAATTTTGACATAAAAGCACATATTTGGAGATTCTAGATCTGTTTAAATTGTATAAAGAAAAACAAGCACAGAGCAAAAGATAAACATAGGATGTGATCTTGATGATACGTTTTAACCTATGACATAACATAGCCTCTGATAAGAAGATGAAAACATGTGAAGCACATAATGACTTCAAAGGCAAAATCTGGGAGATAACTCACGTGCTTAAGAGATAATCCACCTCACTGAAAACAAGAATCAGAAAAATTCCCAAAGGCAAAGAAAGAGTGTTGTTCAACAAGACCATTGAAAACTCATTTAAATTTCCAGATTTAGTATATTGCTTTGCCGTATCCATGACCCTTCTTAGGGTCAGCTGCAGCAATAAAAAACAATCAACTAATCAGCACAGTTAATTAAAAGCTAATCTCTTCTGTTAAGAAGTGTAAACTTTATTTGAAAAGCACCCAGACAATAACAGAATGGTAAGAAAAGTACAACAAAAAAAAGAATGAAACTTATTATATAAATGAAGCTTAATAATCATAAAGCACAATACTTACAGAATATGATGCAGTTAAGAAACAGTTTAATGTCTGCCACATATAGCCAGTTGCATTGAAAGAGAGATCAGTAATCCCTCCAGTTATTGCAGAAATGATCTGCAGGGGAAAGGGAAGAGTCACTCGATAATATAAAAATGTGTTAGCTATGATTAGAGAAATAAAATATTTCGCACGATGAATCGCCCTTTGACAACTACAATAATGCAGTATATTGACACCGGGGATGGTTCTAGGAGATGTAATAAGTAAAACAAACCTCGACTTAAAAGGTAAAACATGTGACATGTGAGTGCTTTATCAAACATGGATATTACAAGTTTCATAATGTCAAGCTCTTAAACATACCATTAGAAATAGAGCGGCCCAGACTCTGCCTTCATGCTGCTTCTTGAACAAGTACATTTCACCAACGGCGGTTATGACATTAGTAACATTCTTCAAGACTGTCACCATAGCTACATTAATGTATTTTAAACTGCATGAAATACAAATGAATAAGAAAAATAATACAATCAAGCAAGAGAGATAGAAACTGCTCTATCTAATGTGAATCCATAAACTGACACCGGAAAGATCGAAATGTGAATATCACATGTGTGGCGATTAAAAGGTTAACATCCTTAAGAGTTCATAACTTGGATGCTCCCAAAAATAGGCAAAGCATTTCTTGGATGAATATCAGCTTAAAGTTTCAATTTCATAATTACACCAGACTACTCGTAAAAGAAATCTCTCTGAACACATTCCACATACTAATACTTTTTCTAAAAATCAATGCAGTTTCACACTCATCATCAAACAGAATTCCGTTCTTTTCAAAAAAAATCAACTCCGTTTTGTACCTACCAATAAACACTAATTCGGAAAGATTAGCTATTAAAAAACTGGAAGCATATGAAACATTACAAAAACCAAAGCCTTATGCCATGATGGGAACATTAATCAAATGATGCTATAAATATCTTATCATAAATAATGTCTAATGACAAACCTACAGTTTTTTCCTGGGCCTCTTTTTACCTCTAACCATTGAATTTGAACTATCTTCCGACTAGTCTATCCGCCTTACATGTTCTTCTCCTTGTCTTATAAAAACTGCTCATATCACCAAAGCAGAGAGTATCATTTATGAGCTTAAATTTCTCTCTAAAGGTTTCATTCTTAATCTTATTTTGTTTAATATTCTCATCTCTGTAACATTGAGCTTATTTTTTTGTTAACTTATTACCACTCAATCTCATACAACATTACAGATCTTATAGTTGGGTGGTAAAGAATTTCTTTATGTTTAAGAGTTTCTTTTCTGTCACAAATTACACCATAAGCATCACTCCATTGCATCTACGTTGTTTAAATTCTATGGTTGACACCCCCCTCTATTATAGTGTCATTTTATATGATGGGTACAAGATGCCTAAATTGTAAGAATTGTAATCTGTCCTTTTTCTAATTTTTATGGCTAAGCTAATGGCAGTGCGTGCCTCCTGCTATTAGAAAACCAGCCACAAAGTATCTGCCCTGTCACCCCCTTTGTTAGCTTACCGATATATTGCCTTGTAGCACTAGCACTAGCATTGACAGTTCTAATCGAAGGTGTGTTGCGTCAGATAAGACACCGGCACATATGAAAACCATTTTCCGAAGTTATGAGTGCTGTGTCTACTCGTGATGTATGGATATATTGTAATGAAAGATAAAAGAAAGCACTATAATAGGCAGAAAGTTGAAGAGTTGATACCTAAACATGCTTGTAATTAGCATTCCAACAAATATAACATTGACAGGAAACCAGACTATAATCAATCTCCATGTGAGTGGTTCAGTTGAAATTAAACCCAAAAGGCTCAACACAGAAACAATAATCACTGAAATGAAATTCTGCATCAACAAAAGTATCAACCTTTACATCATTATTAAACTATAAAGTAACCGAAGTTAGAGTAAAAAAAAACACATAAAAAGGGAAATAAATAAATAAATTACCTGATAAACCATCAAAGAAATTCCAGCGTTAAAATCATAAGTAGAAAGTATAATTTTGTTAACTAAAATCATGCCACAAGAGGAAAGACAATAAGCAAGTCCAGATAATAAGGCTTCATTATGTACTTTAACAACCCTTGCATTTCTTGAACCTCTCTCTTTGCTCTTCTCCAATAACTTTCCGTTTTCTTCGTCATGTTCATCATCCGAAGAAGACTTCATTTCACGCTCACGGCGGTGCGAATCGCACCACGGCGGTGCGGGACGGGGCTCTGTTCCGGTAACGTTGAGTTGTTGAGTAAAGAAAAAAAAGGTTCGTTTTTGAGAAACTATTGTTTCTCTATGATCGAGGCAACAAGGGTTAAAGATCATTTTTATTTTTAATGCGAGTATACTAATGAAATTTTACCCAATACCCCTGCACTTATATTCATACCCCTACATTTTTACAAAAATACTCATTTTATCCTTATATATTTTAATATTTTATTATTTTTTTTACTTTTTAGATTTTTCAGTCTTCCGAACAATTCATCCTATGATCTATCGGAACACTTTGAAAATGACTTCTAGTAGGCTTTTTTTCTCAAACCGGAAGACTTGGACAAAGAGTTTTGGTTCACAAAAATAGTTCATCGGAAGACTTCAAGAAAGTCTTCCGGTTTGTTTTTTGGCTACCGGAACACTTGCTACAAGTCTTCCGGTTTGTTGTTTTGGCTACCGGAACACTTGCTACAAGTGTTCCGATTTGATTTGTCCAATTTTTTTTTATAATTTTTTTTGAATTTTTCTTATGTAATTATTTCAGAAATTCTTTTACAAATATGCGATAAAGATCAGATATCCGTAGATACGTCTGATGTTTTTTCAACAACTCAGAGATTTGGTACACGAGAAGAGGTTTCAGACATTCCTTTACAAATATGCGATAAAGATCAGATATGTGTAGATACGTCTGATGTTTTTTCAACAACTCAAAGATTTGGTACACGAGAAGAGGTAATAAGATGGATTAAAGAGATCGGAATCCGAAATAAAGTTACGGTTATCATCACTCGTTCAGATATTAAAACAGGCAAGAGAGCAAGAAGTAACAAATTAATATTTGGATGTGATAAAGGAGGAAAACACAAAGATATTGATAGTGGAACCCAGAGTGCGACGAAAAAATGTGGATGTCCATTTAGAATCAAATCAATTCCAGCGACTGATGAATCTGGATGGAAGATTGATGTAAAATGTGGAGTTCATAACCATGGTTTACTTGATAGATTAGAAGGTCACGCATTTGTCGGTAGGTTGACAGCGGATCAGAAGCAACATGTTGTTGATTTGACAAAGAGAAAGGTTCCACCTAGACATATATTACTTTCATTGCAAGAGTAAGATCCAGATAATGTCACTCGGATCACGCAAATATACAAACAGAAGAGTATGATAGAAAAAAATATAAGAGGTCCTAGAAGTGAGATACAACATTTGTTTAAGCTTATTGAGGAAGCAGGTTATGTTTATTGGAGTAGAAAAAGAGATGACTCTGAAGTAATTAGAGATATCTTTTGGGCTCGTCCAGATTCAGTTAAGTTGTTGAATATTTTTCCTATTGTGCTAGTTATGAACAACACTTACAAGACAAACAAATATAGGCAACCTCTGTTTGAAATAGTTGGCATGACATCAACCGAGTTGACTTTTGCTGTCGCATTTGCCTATATTGAGTCTGAGCAAACTGAGACTTTTTGTTGGGTGCTAGATAAGCTTAAACAATTGTTTGTGAAGAAAGAGATGTGTCCACAAGTGATTTTGACAGATAGAGATCTTGCTTTAATATCTTTTGGGCTCATCCAGATTCAGTTAAGTTGTTGAATATTTTTCCTATTGTGCTAGTTATGAACAACACTTACAAGACAAACAAATATAGGCAACCTCTGTTTGAAATAGTTTGCATGACATCAACCGAGTTGACTTTTGCTGTCGCATTTGCCTATATTGAGTCTGAGCAAACTGAGACTTTTTGTTGGGTGCTAGATAAGCTTAAACAATTGTTTGTGAAGAAAGAGATGTGTCCACAAGTGATTTTGACAGATAGAGATCTTGCTTTGATGAAAGTCATTGAAATTATGTTTCCAAGGTCGATCAATATGCTATGTCGATTTCATATTAACAAGAATGTTGGTGCAAAACGGAAACAATATGTGGCTAGTGACATGCAAAATAAAATTGACGAATTATGGACGGATGTTGTATGGGCTAGTGATGAGGTTGAGTATGATCAAAGGTTGAACCAACTTGAGCAGGCGTGCGTTGATTGTAATGAATTTATTGATTATGTGAAGGACACATGGTTGACACCACATAGACAAAGATTTGTTGGAGCATGGATTAATCGAGTGCTACATTTGGGTAACACTACGACTAATCGATATGTATTTATTTTTAGTATTTCTAAATTGTATTTTTTTTTTTTTGAATTTTTTTAAAATATTTTAAATATGTATTAATTTTAGGGTTGAGTCTGCTCATTGGAAGTTAAAGCAAATGTTGGAGAACAATATTGGTGACATGGTCAAATGTTGGGAGGCTATGAATGACAACTTAAAGTTACAATTGAGTAATATTATAGCTTCTTTTCAAAAGAGTTTTTATGAAGTTGAGCATGCCCATGTAAGTCCATTTTACAATAATTTACGTGGTTCAGTGTCTCGAGATGCATTGAGACGCATTATTGAAGAGTTAAAACGAGTTGATTATGTTGGAACTAACAAGGAAATATGTCGTTGTACTCTTAGAACAACCTACGGATTACCTTGTGCTTGTGAGTTGACAGGATATAGAATTGATGGTTTACCGATACCAATAGATGTTGTACATGTTCATTGGAGAAAACTAAGTATGGAAGTTAAGTTGGACGAAGATGTAGATGATGGATCAGAGGTGGATATGAGTAGTGCAATAGATGAGTTATGGAAAAGGTTTAAGTCACTGGATGTTGTTGGGAAAAGGGCATTAAAAAGTAGGGTTTTTGAACTTGTCTTCCCTGCAATGACTTCTATGTGTCCACCACCTGAGAAAATAAAAACTAAAGGGGGAGTCAAGAAGAAAGACAAAAAACCAGTAGGATATGATGTTTATAGAGACCCTCCGTATCACGAGTATGTTGATCAAGCATCTCAATCTTCACAGATGCAATCTCAACCATCACAAACTTCGAAGAAATTGAAATTATCACAATCTTCACAAAAGAAATCTCAACCATCACAGGCTTCGAAAAAGTTGAAATTCTCACAATCTTCACAGTCACCTAAGCAGTTCATCCTTTAATTTCCTAATCACATCAGGTCATATATTGATGATGTAGTTAATGTTGTATCAGATGGTAATTGTGGATTTCGAGTCATTGCTTCATTGCATGGATATGGTGAAGATGGTTGGCCAATGGTTCGTCGAGACTTGGGGTTGGAAATAATACATAATGAAAGATCAAGTTTGTATGTCAATTTATTTACTGATCAGTTGGCAGTAGTGAGAGAATCTTTGATGATAGAGGAATTTGGTCCTCAGCCACCACATAAATGGTTAACTCTACCAGATATGGGTTACGTGATAGCGAATCGTTATAATGTTGTACTTGTCTGTTTAGGAATTGAATGCTGGACTTTCTTCTCTATGACATCTTCATTTTCACCGAATGTAGCAATTTACTGCATTGGTTTTGTAAACAGAAATCATTGGGTTCAGGTACTTAGTTGTTTTTAGATAATGCGATTAAACCTAATTCTTTTTCGTTATTTTTACTTAATATTGCGAGTTATTTTTTTATTTAGGTAAACATGAAAGAAGGGTTTCCATTGCCACCAGTGACAGTAGATTGGAAGAAGTTTCGTTCTCCAGCAGCAACATCTTGGATGATAGGATTTGCAAGACGTCTACAACATTGGCAACAACTTACGTCTATATTACCAACGCATTATGAATTATAAATTATGTTACTCATTTTTAATTTCAAAACAAGAATCGTGAATTATGTTAATCGTTTTTAATTGCAAAACATGAATCGTGAATTATGTTACTCATTTTTTATTACAAAACATGAATGGTGAATTATGTTACTCATTTTTAATTGCAAAACATGAATCGTGAATTATGTTACTCGTTTTTAATTGCAAAACATGAATCGTGAATTATATTAACACATAAACATAAACTAAATAGGTCAGATTAGTCTAAAAGTTAACACATGAACATAAACCAATTAGGTCAAATCTGTCTAAAGGTTAACATATAATCATAAATATAAATAAAAGTCACTGTGATAGACCAAGATGTAAAGCTTCGAACAAATCAGCAAACTGTGGGTCATCCTCTTCAGCACCAGTCTGCTGAAGATAACGATGTATCAATGAAGACATACGAGCCACTATAGGATCAGATGGTCATGCTTCATATACAGGAACTGGCCGGTGATGTCATATGCGAAACACAATAATACCACTCAAGATACCCATCATCTGTCTCATATGGGGTGGTGGTCGGTGTTGTCGGACGAATCACATTCTGAACGCTCTGATGGTAACTAATCCAGTCAACATCAATATCACCAGCCATTCGAGAATCAAGAGGTGGATGTGGAACATACTGCCTGTATCTAAACTGACGCAAACATCTGTCAGGCATGTATGGAACAATAGTGTCACTCCACCTCAGACACCCCCTATAGAGACATAACTCATCAAACTGACGCCATACTCTATGATTCTCGAATGGGCGCCATATGACATCAGCAGGTGTCAGCTCGTCCAGAATAGGCCGCAAGTCATCCACCTTCGAGGCACCTTGCCTATAGGACCATCTCATCGCTCGTGGGAGACCCACATTATTAGCTGGTATCCAGTTCTCTCCTCTTTTCCCAAGTGTAGGAAAATACTCATGAATCCAACACTGTTACAAAATTTAAAATAATTAATTATAACATAATAAACTAAATAAATAAAATTAATATACTATATAAAATTAATTAAAACAAAATATACTAAATTAAAATAAATACCTGTAGGAGAGTCGGATAACCACCAAGCTGCTTACAGCTGAACATGGAAGCATCTTCGAGATATCGGTAAAGAGTAACCAACGCAACAGCTGCCCAACTGTATCCTGATAATCCATCCAAGTCTATAAATAGTGAGAGGTATCGTGCCTCGACAAGCGTAAACGTCTTGTCCGCAAAAATAGTGGAACCCACTAACATCAGCAAATAAGCTCTAGTGGTATAATCCCATCGAGATGCAGCTCTGTGCTCTACGAACCGATCATATAACCACTCCAGCTTATAGTAGGAACCCCTGCACTCACGTACTTGTTGTTGTACTATTCTCTGCGACGCTCCCAAATAATCAACAATCCACTCAACAGCAAGCGCTTCACTGATATCTTGAGGGTTCCAAAAGACTCCCCTGATGGGCAAGTGAAGCAGGCAAGATACGTCATCTAGAGTAATCGTCATCTCACCAAACGGCATGTGAAATGAAGATGTCTCTAGATGCCACCTCTCTGCAAAAGCGGAAACTAGGTTTGTGTCTATCTTTGTTAAACTGGTTCTCTGAAGTGAAGCTAGACCAGACCTAGATATCCAGCTCTCCATCTCTCTGGGTAACTGTAGTGGAACCCTCTGAGTCAACTTTAACCAATGTCCCGCCACCTTTAACTCTTTTTTCGACCCTCTCTCCTGAAAAAAATTAAAAGTAAAAATATTATAAAATTCAATATTAAAAATTCGAATTCTATTCAATATTAAATAATTTTCGTTTACTTACCTCACTGAACCATATACGGTATGCAACATGTTGTTCGTATTTAACTAACAGAGACGTATCATACGGTCCTCTGGGATATCCAACCGGCTCGGATGCTGATGCAGATGCATTAAAATGCTCTTCTTCAGCCATCCTTGATGACTCGCCCCGTCCTAGTCCACGAGGGATCCTACCATCTCTGCCTCTTGTGCGCACCACTGGAAAAAAAATCAATATAATTAAAAATTAAAAAATAAATAAATAAATAAATATAATTAGAAAATAAAAATTAAAAAAAAAACAATGAACCGGAAGTCTTCAAGAAAGACTTCCGGAGATGAAACGAAACATTGAGTGAACCGGATGTCTTTAGGAAAGACTTCCGGTGACTAAACTAAAATTTTTTCTGAACCGGAAGTCTTCAAGAAAGAGTTCCGGTGAACAAACTCAAAAGTTTGTGAACCGGAAGTCTTCATGAAAGAGTTTCGGTGAAGAAGCAAAAACAAAATACAAACCGGAAGACTTACTCTTAGTGTTCCGGTATGTATTGCAACTGAAATGTGTTCCGCAAGTGTTTGTGTGAGAGTTCCGGTTTGTAACAAAATTTGAGAGCTTCCGGAAGTCTTAAAATGGAAAGTGAGAAATGAAAGTGAAAAATGAAAAAATGTAAGATTATAGATATTTAACTAAGGGTATTTTGGTCCAATATTTTTTAGTGTAGGGGTGTGGGTATAAGGGTAGGGGTATGGGGTAAAACTTTCGTAAACTAAATGGGTAAACTAAGATATTTTTTGTGGGTCCAAAGTGTTTTATAGGATTTAAAAAGTTTATAGTTAATTTGAATAGTTTTTACTTTAATGATGGTTGTCTATAAGAAACCAAAACTTGACCTCACATTTTATATTTTTTATTCAAGTTACCATTAATTTAATTATTTTAATTTAAATGCATATAATTTTTTTAATAAAATTTACCTTAAAAACTTAGAAATAATATTAAATATATTTTATTATAAAATTTAAAATAATACAAAATTCACAACAATAATACATAAAAAAAATTACATTTTCATAGAGAATATCATATGACCCTCATGATTTAACTTTAATCTTCATGTTTTCTCTTCAATACACACAAAGTAGAGTATGATTTATCTATAAGTCTCATGATTTCTCCACCATACACACAACTCATGAATAGTACCATATGACCCTTGTGATTTAACTTTAACCCTCATATTTTCTCTTCAATACACACAACATAGAGTATCATAGAAACCTCGTGATTTAACTTTAAATCTCATTATTTTTCTTCAATAAATCTTATAAGTGTGAAAACAACATAAAAGACTCAATTTGGTGGTAGATATATTGAACCAAAAGTATCATCTTCCACAGCTATAAATCAAATGTCATTGAATTTTATTTTTGTTTATATAAAACCACCCCCAAACCTTGAAGTTGAAATTTTTATGTTTATTTGCGTATTTTTTCACTTTTAAAGTTCACTTTCATTTAAAGATTCCTTAAGTTATAAGTTAAGGTATTTTCAAGTATATGCATGTCGTTTAAAGTTTTATGTTTTTAAACCAAAGTTTTATGTTTTTAAACCAAAGTTTTAAAAATTCATGTTAGTATTAGTTTGTTTGTTCATGGTTGATTTATTTTGTGTTTGAATTTGCGTGTACATAATTGATTTTGATAAAATTGAGTTTAATAGAATTGATTTTAATAGATTTAAGTTTAGTAAAATGTGTTTATGTTTGGATACATTCACATAAAAGTGATTTAAAATCAAAAGTTACTTTAAAAAAATCAAACACGTTAAATTTGTGTTATTTAAAAAAAACATATAAACATGGTTATAAACATGGTTTTATATGTTGATTGATTAGTTTTTGTGTTATTTAAATTTGAATTTGTTGAGTTTAGTTTTGGCAGTCTAGTTTAAGGGTGATAAAATATGAAATTAAATTTGATTTTCAGGCTATATTTTTCTTGATCAATTTGAATTTAAAACGCTTGAATTTTTGAAAAAGAAAAGGGAGAGTGGTTAATTTTGTCTTCTCATTATTGTATTTTCTTTGAAGAGTTATTCATTTCTCGCCCCTTCCGTTTAGGTTCATCCTTCAACAACCTCTACTATAGTTGTTATAGCCACTCTTTGAAAATGTTAAGTTCTGAATAAGCCATTTATCTCTTCTAAGAACCTGAGACGCTGTTTTTTTGTTGAACGTTCTCCTCCTTCTGTAAAAGTAATATTTTCTAGACCATCCTGAGTAGAGTTGCTTCCCACTTGAGGTGATTCTGATTCAAAGTTAGCCGGTAGAGAATAATGGTGATTGAAACATAAAAGGTCGTAGATTTTGAGAACCGTCACATAGGTAGCGATGGAAACTCTAAAGTTGCTCTATAAATAAATTTTGATAACGGTCGCAGACACATTTGAAAATTTTGAGAACCGTTACCGGTTGGAATCCATTTGATAAATAAATATAGATAATGAAACTTTAAAGTTGGGATCCATTTGATAAATAAATATAGATAATAAATATAGATAATGGAAACTCTAAAGTTGCTCTATAAATAAATATAGATAACGGAAACTCTAAAGTCCCTCTAATAAATTTGATAAATAAATATAGATAATGGAAAATGGGCTTTGAATGTAGGAGGATAATGGAAACTCTAAAGTTGCTCTATAAATAAATATAGATAATGGAAACTCTAAAGTCCCTCTAATAAAGAGGGAAATATTCAAAAGTCACAAGATTCTTCTTCCTCTTGCTCAATTATAAATAAATATAGATAATAGAAACTCTAAAGTTACTATAATAAAGAGGAAAATATTCAAAAGTAATCCTGTTCCTCTTGCTTAATTATGTCTGTGATTTCAATTTTTAGTTTATGTGTAATCGTGCTTATCTTAAAATATAAATAATCACCATCATTTATTTATTTATTAAATTACTCTAAAATACTCCAAAATAAAATAAAATATTTGTGCAACCAAATAATGGTAGAAACGTTTTCAAAAAATAAAATAATTGTTACTAAAATAAATGTTACCTAGATTTTTTTAACAAGATGTATTTATTCTATAGATGGTGATTAGATAAATGTTAAGAAAGAAAAAATGAACAATTTATTGAATAATAAATTAATTATATATGAATATTTTCTTTCTTTTAC